TGCCCACAAAAAAGCATTTTAAAAATCCCATTCCTAAGTTTTGGGGACAGAACACGAGCTAGAGCCACAATGGTCACCAGGATAAAAGGGAAGAGAAATAGTTTAGGGCAGAACTTAGTTCCTGAAGTGGATGGAACTGCTTTCACAAGCCTTTCATCTCTCTAATTTGTAAATAATTATTCTCCAAACCACATCCTTACCTTGGCCAGGTTGCTTATGAAGGCTGGGTACTTCAAACCATGTTCAAGGGAAGCTGCCTCAATCCTTGTGATCCAGAGCTGAAGGTGTAAAAATCAATATATTGCATGATAAAACACTTTAAAATAAACCCTTGTCTGCTCACAGTTATTAAATATAAATATAAATTATAATATTTTCATGGAATATCCTGAGCTGGAAGGGACCCACAAGAAAATGCTGCTTTAAACTCCAACTTTTCACTCATTGTTTTTTAAATAAACCCCCCCCAGAATAAGAAAAGCAGCTGTTTCACTCCTGCCTGGCTCTCATTTTGATATTTCCACCCAACATTTTCCTCTTTACCGCTCTGAGGAATCTCTTCTTCTCCCTCCTGGCCTTGGTGGACTTCACAAAAGCCCTGCGGACACTCCTCACTGCCAGCTTGTAGCAGCGGTTCTTCCTGCCTCGAAAATGCTGCAAAAAATACCCAGAATGGTCTTATTTAATTAATTTAAATATATAACACTAATAAAGCTCATTTGCTTTCTCAGTTCTGCATAATAATGATCACAGAAACCTTCACAAGCACCCCCTAAGCCTTCAGCTGGCACATAATGAAAATATTCTTTGCTTTGTTTTTATCTTGGAAATATATGGAATATAATATCATATGGAATATAATAGCATGGAAATATAATTTTTATCATGAAAAGTCTGAAGCTGAGGAGTTGGAGCAGGGAGGAAAAATCTCAGCTTAGCAGAGGCAAAACCAGGCCTCGCTTTGGGCTGTGCTTCTGTGGGAAAGGCAATTACAAAATCATGCACTGAATTCACATATTTATTCTCATTCCTCAGCTCCCCTCTTTTGTGTCTGTATGAACACAGGGATGAGGAAGGAACATTTATCAAACAGAAAAAAAAATTATCAAACAGAAAAAAAATTAAATTTGTTCTCTGCCATCCCTCTAACGCAACACAGGAGAAAGCAGCCAGTGCTGCACCAGGAATAACTGATACTGTGGGCAGCTTAGGCGCTACAAAACCAAAATATTCTCATTTCCTTCAACTTTTCTATCTCAGCATTACAGCAAGATGTAATTTTAAGCATTTTATCACAGTGCTTAGGATGCCCTTGAGAAAGGTTCATTCCTAACCTCGGCACAGCAGCTTGAACTCCAGCTGACATCCAAAATGCACTTGAGAACCAGGTTAATTTTTTCTTTGCCCAGTAAAACAAAGCAAAAACACTCAAAAGGAAACACAACCAGCCCAGCTGTATTTAATGAAACACACACCACTTTTATAGCAAGAGAAAAGCCCGGAATGGTTCGGGTGGAAAATGGAGCTCCGAGCGCAGCCGGTGCCAGCCCTGCTGTGGGCAGGGACCCCTCAGGCCGCTCCACAGCCCTTCCAGCCCTGCAGGGATGGGGCATTCCCGGCCTGCTATGGGCAGGGACCCCTCAGGCCGCTCCACAGCCCTTCCAGCCCTGCAGGGATGGGGCATTCCCGGCCTGCTATGGGCAGGGACCCCTCAGGCCGCTCCACAGCCCTTACAGCCCTGCAGGGATGGGGCATTCCCGGCCTGCTATGGGCAGGGACCCCTCAGGCTGCTCCACAGCCCTTACAGCCCTGCAGGGATGGGGCATTCCCGGCCTGCTATGGGCAGGGACCCCTCAGGCTGCTCCACAGCCCTTACAGCCCTGCAGGGATGGGGCATTCCCGGCTCCGGGACCGTGCCCGGGGCACAGGGCAGTGCCGGGGGACGCGGGGACAGCGGCGTTGACCCCGCACTCACCCGCGCGTACTTGAGCACCTCCTGCACCCTCCAGAAGCGATCCGAGAGGCGGCTGCGCAGCCAGCGCGCCGCGCTCAGCACCACCATGGCTGCGGCACGGTGCCTGCCTGCTTTCCTGTGTTCCTGCTTTCCTGCCTTCCTTCCGGGGCGGCACCGACGTGCCCGGCCCTCCCTGAGCCTGCCTTCGAGGCTGGCCCGGCTTCCTCTGAGGCGGCCCCCGCTGCTTCCTCTGATCCTGTCCCCGAGCCTTCCCGGAGCTTCCTGTGGACCTTCCCTCGGTTCTTCCTCTGATCCTGTCCCCGAGCCTTCTCGGAGCTTCCTTTGGACCTTCCCTCGGTTCTTCCTTTGATCCTGTCCCCGCTTCTTCCTCTGATCCTGCCCCCCAGCCTTCCCGGTCCTTTTTCCGGTCCTTCCCCCTGTTCTTCCTCTAATCCTTCCTCCAGTTCTCCCCCCGAGCCTTCCCGGTTCTTCCTCTGATTCTGCTCCCGAGCCTTCCCCGTCCTTCTTCCCGTCCCTCCTCCGGTTCCTTCCTCCGTTTCTGCCCCCGAGCCTTCCTAGTCCTTCCCCCGATTCTTCCTCTGGTCCTTCCTGTGGTTTTTCCTCCAGTCCTTCCCCCGAAACTTCCCGGTCCTTCCTCTAGTCCTTCCTCCGGTCCTTTTTCCAGCCTTTCCCCCGGTTCTTCCCCCGGTCCATGCCCCTGAGCCTTCGCGGTCCTTGCCCAGGTCCTTCCCTGTCGTTCTTCCAGCCCTTCCTCCAGTTCTTCCCCCTTCTCCCGATCTTCCCCTTGCCCTTCCTCCAGTCCTGTCCCCAGCCCTTTCCCCGGCCCCTTTTCCCGGTCATTCTCCGGCTTTTCCACCTCCCTCATCTCCTCTCTCAGAGCACAGTGGCTTTTCCCCGTGCTGGGCATCCTCTGCCCCAGCCCGAGTTCAGCCATGGAATCACGGAATATCCTGAGTTGGAAAGGACCACAGGGATCATCCAGCCCAGCCCCTGGCCCTGCACAGACACCCCAAAATCCCACTCTGTGCATCCCTGGGAGTGTTGTCCAAACCCTCCTGGAGCTCTCATTCCCTGGGGAGCCTGGGCAGTGCCCCAGCACCTTCTGGGGGAAAAACCTTTCCCAAAATCCGACCTAAACTTCCCCTGACACAGCTCCAGCCATTCCCTCAGGTCACCAGAAACCTTCACCTTTGGGTGAAGAACCTTTACCTGATCCCAGCCCTCTGATGTGCCCTCATCACCTGCCTGAGGTGTGACCAAGGCAGCCCAAACCCACAGCTCAGCTGGGAGCAGGCACACACACTGGGGTTGTACCAAAATCCCCTGGAAAAAGGAGCTGGGCTGCTTGGAGCCAGCTCAGCAAGGAATTTGGGATTTTGTATCCCCAGCAGCGCTCCAGCCACCAGTGTGAGTAGATTTGGTGTTGTTTTCAGTGGCTGGAAGGATTCCATAGTGGGTAACAAACCTTACATCATCCTGCAAGGGTTAGGGTTGGAGAATGGGACACATAAATGGAAAATTTATGAGCTGTGCAAACCACAAGGTGGTGCTGCCAGAAAATGATTCCGTGGGAGCAGCAATCTCAGCGTCAGAGAACTGATGGATTTTTTTAAAATCATCACCACTTCCAGCATCTCAAAGCAATCATGCTCCTGTTATAAACTGCTCCATCATCAATCATCAAGATGTTCCCCACTTCTGAGAAAGTTCTTGTCAAGAATGTGGAAATTTCAGAGAAATCTTTCTCAATATCGCTGAGGTTTGTCTGACACAAAGTTCACTTGGTTATTACAAGAACCAGTAGACAATAAATGTACAGAACACAATTTTCAGACCTCCCTGAAAAGGTTAAAACACATTTTCAGACCTTCCTGAAAAGGTTAAAACGCATTTTCATGACAGCAAAAGAACTTTGGAAAGTTTCCCTGGATTTAGCAAAGCTTCTTAGAATTTTTGGCACTTTTATGAATGCTTAAATTGTATTTCACCACACCCTGTGCCATCACCAGCAGATGGTAAAAGCAGCTGTAGGATTTTTAGCTGCCCAGCCCTGAGTTAATCTTTCCACGGTTTAAGCCTAAAATTGATTTCTCTTCCTATAGTTTTGAGTTTGGGCTCTTTCTTTTTGTGTGACTCCTCCTTTTTTCCCACTTCAAGTTTGAAAAATATTATGTCTTTAAATCTAACCAGAATTTAGACAGGCAGAGGAACCACTGAGGCTCCCAGAGCTCCCTACCACTTGTCACATTTATGGTTTCCTGCACAGCTCCAGATTTTATTATTAACGCTCTCTCTGGCCTGTGCAGCCCTGAAAACAGGATGGATCCAGCAGTTATTTCCCCTGGGATGTCTGGACAGATCTGAGAAGAGATTTCACATTTTGCAGCTTGAGTGGAGGCTGCTGCCCTGCAAACCCCCCTGGGAGCCATCCAGCCCTGGAGTGCAGGGAAGAACAGGATGGGAATGGACTTGTCACACTCTGCTGTCTGCTTCAGAGCTTGTTTCTCTCTGTGTTTTTCAATATCTCTCTCTTATTACTGCCACACTACCTTGGAGGCTGCACAGGCACGGAGATGGGGCTGAAATTCTTAAATAATATTGATCTTATGAGGGAGATGAAATAATTGATAATTGCTGTGCCTCCTCTACGAGAATATCAATATGTTCTGCAAACAATACCCGATGACTGCAGGGGACAGATGATTTCTGAGGAATACAGTGATTATTATCAATTTCTCTTAGGGTTTTTTTTTCTTTATTTAATCTAGTGAGGAATTTTAGAAAATGAACCAGAGGCAGAATAATTAAAGTTGGAGAGGGACCATCTTGACCCGGGGATGGATGGCTGGAGCGTGGGGAGGCAGATGTGGAGGATTGGCCAGCACAGAGAGCACTGAGGCTGTTCTGTAAACACAGCAAGGCTGAGCTCAGAAGGGACCTCAGTGCTGGGAGTGAGTGGCTGTGGCTGCAGTGACAGCACCACACACTGCTCCCATCCCTGCTGCACGGGACGGAAACAGCTCCTGCCCTTCCTCTGCTCTGCTCACCTCCCTGCCGTGAGACCTGGGCAGGAACATCTGCTTGGATACACCTGGAGAGCATGGAAAGGTGATTTGAAGACAAGGAGCTGCCTGGGGGTGCCTAAACCCGATATTCTGAGCAGCTAAACCTGATATTCTGAGCACCTAAGCCTGATCTGCTGAACATCTGAGCCTGACATCCTGAGCATCTAAGCCTGATACTCTGAACCTAAGCCTGATATTCTGAACACCTGAGTCTGATATTCTGAATTTAAGCCTGACATCCTGAGCATCTAAGCCTGATATTCTGAGCACCTGAGCCTGAAATCCTGAACATCCAAGTCTGATATTCTGAACACCTAAACCTGATATTCTGAACCTAAGCCTGATCTGAACACCCAAGCCTGATCTGCTGAACACCTGAGCCTGACATCCTGAACATCCAAGCCTGATATTCTAAACACCTGAGCCTGAAATCCTGAAGATCTAAGCCTGAACATCTAAGGCTGATATTCTGAACCTGAGCCTGATATTCTGAACATCTGAGCCTGATATTCTGAACCTAAGCCTGATATTCTGAACATCTGAGCCTGATATTCTGAATTTAAGCCTGATATCCTGAGCATCTAAGGCTGATATTCTGAACCTGAGCCTGATATTCTGAACACCTGAGCCTGAAATTCTGAACCTAAGCCTGACATCCTGTACCCAAACCTGACATCCTGACCACCCAGCTGAGCTCCAAGGTGGAGGGGGGTACCAAAGCCCACTGAGCAGCCCGTCACAGCCACCACAGCCACCCTTTGGGACCTCTTGGGAGCGGAATTTTGGGAAAAGCAACAACAAATTCAGCAGGGCTCGGGATTCTAAACCAAAATAAAAATTACTGCCAAACTTCCAGCAGATCTGCTTTGGGTCTGAGGCTGGGAAAAGCATCTGAAAGGAAGCAAATTGTGCTGAGCAGGGAGCAGGGAGACCTTTCCTTGCTGCCCCACGATGATCTCTGCCTGAGGGCTCCTGAAGGAGACAGAAGAACCCTTTGCAAGCTCCTTCCCACCTCTGCCAGACCAAAAACAAGGAAATACTTTTAGATAAGAGCGTGGCTTGGTGGATCTCCTTGAAGGATGCCCGGCCAGGAGCCTGAGGACTTTGGAGCAGAAATCCTGTCGGAAAAATCCCGAATGATCCCTGGGCTCCCCCCGTACCACATGGACGAGCAGCTCCTGCCCAGGCAGCCCCGCAGCCCCTGCTGCTGCCTGGCCTGGACCCTGCTGATAGGAACCATGAACTGCCTGGTTTTCCTCCTGAATTTGCTCCTGATGTTTGTGATCTTCACCGTCGTGCTCCTTCCTACCATCGTGGTGGTTTACTTTGGCTTCCAGTGCCACTCCCAGGTAAGAGCCACTCCTCAAGGGCAGGGCCACACCTGAGGGTCCCTCTGAGCCCCACCTGAGCAGTGCCTGGAAAGGACAGGAAAAACTCCCCAGGTTTTGGCTTTGGGCACAGATTTTTCCCTGTGTGAATAACCTGGGCTGACAAGGACAGGTATTGTGGGAAATTGGGCAATGGAGTTGTGTCCCCATGGAAATTGGGCAGTGGAGTTGTGTCCCCATGGAAATTGGGCAATGGAGTTGTGTCCCCCAAGCAGAGGTGCCAGGTGAGGTGAACACACTCCCTGCCCTGATGGCATTGCTGTTTGCATTTTAATTTCACAATTATTTCTCTCTTCCCTGGGATTTCTGTCACTGAGAGCTCCAGAGCTCACAGCCCTGCCCGGGCTCTGGTGGGGTTTGCTGCTTCCTGTTGAATTAAATTTAAGATCCATTAGGATCTGCCTAATTAGGATCAGTAAAATCTGACAGAATTTCCAATCCCCTTCTCATGCCAATGTAACATTGCTGTTCCCAACAATTCTGTGCATTCCTCACACCAAAATAAGACTCCTTTGTCCATCCAGGCTCTGTTTGCTGCCCTCTGCATTGCATCATTTCCTTATTTACCAATCCCTTCTTGCTATATTCCTTTAAACATTTTTGGGATCAGCTGATCAAAGGCAATTCCCTGTTTTCCTTGCAGGCTTGGGTTGTTACACCAGCTCAATGTGCCTTTTTCATAAGTCATAAACAGGGACTGAAAATGGGAAAAAACCCTCCCAGAACTGCCCCTTCCAGCTCCCCTCACCTTGGAAAACCTCGAGTTCTGCTTTTCACACACACCCAGAGGCTTTGTGGAGATGCAGAATGTTTTTGAGTGCAGCCAAGTGCACCAGAAATGAAAACTGCTGGGAGCTGTGAGGAGATTTTTAAACTCAGCTTTTCCTTCAATGCAATCATAGCAAGGGATTGTGGCTTCAGCAGAGCAGTCCCTGACTTTGGGCCACGGTTTTTGAGTGGCTCCCCAGCAGCCAGGGGCTGATTTCTGCACTGCAGCTCCATTAGGTGGATTTATTGTTGGGTTTTAGCATGATTGTGTTCCTTTCACTGCTGAAAAGAAAAAAGAATAAAGTCAGAGGCTGCCTGCAGCATTTGGAGAGCAGAACAAGCGAGTGCCAGCATGAAAGGAGGGCTCTGAGCACCACTCAGGCAGGCCCAGAGAGGTTTTTCTTTGCAAGTGGTCATTTCTGGCAGAGTTTTCAGGCAGAAATGAGTGTACAGAGAGCAGAACACAAAGGGCTCTGGAGAGCCATGGAATGGGCAGAATCTGTCTGCAGAATCTAACAGATTTCTTTATTTTCATTTATTTTTATTTATATCTAATTTATATTTATTTTTATTTATATTAAAATATATATGATATAAATTTATAATATAATATAATAGAATATATATTTTTATAAAAAATATATTCTATTATATTATAAATTTATATCTTTTTTTATATTATAAATTTATAGCTTCTTTTTTTGTTGTTCTTCCCAGTGTTGCGCCACCCACACCAATGTAGCACCAGGAGTTTTTTTGGATTTAGTTTGTGCAGAATCTAACAGATTTCTGTAGTTTTATTTCTTTTTATTTATATATTGATATATAATTTATATTTATTTTTATTTATATAAAATACATATTATATACATTTATAATATATATTTTATAACATTAAATAGATGTTATTTTATTTATTTCTTTTTTGTTCTTCCCAGCGTTGTGCCACCCACACCAATGTAGCACCAGGAGGTTTTTTTTATTTGGTTTGTGCCTATCCAATGCTCTTGGGTGACGGAATGAAATGAGTGTTCCCTGCTCCAGGGTCAGTGCGCAGTGCTCCTGTCTCACAGGGAGAATTAAAAGCTTGATTAAGATGTGATTTCTGTCACAGACTGTGCCTGAGGATTGCTCAGCTCTGGGAGAGGGAGCAAAAGAAAAATGTTTTCTTTTTCCATGAAAACATTGGAAACTCAGGGGTGCTTTGGCCACTGCTGTCAGCACCAGGCCACATAACAGGGGTGGCTGTGGCAGAGTTGGGTTAATGGGGGACTTTTCACAGAATTCACAGAATCACAGAATTCTCAGGATGGAAGAGACCTTAAAGACCATCGAGTCCAACCCAGCCCCAGCCCCTCAGCTCAACCCTGGCACCCAGTGCCACATCCAGGCTTTGTTAAACACACCCAGGGATGGGGACTGCAGCACCTCCCTGGGCAGCCATTCCAGAACTTTATCCCCTTTCTGGAAAAACCTTTATCCCCTTTCTGTGAAAAACTTCTTCCCAATATCCAGCCTGCATTTCCCTTGCTGCAGCTCGAGGCTGTGTCCCCCGGTTCTGTCAGTTCCTGGAGAGAGAGGAACCCCAACCCAGGCCCACCTTTCAGGGAATCGTAGACAGTGCTTTTTGTCGGTCACTTTTTGGAGCTCTTTCCCCGCGTTCTGATCCTGGCTGTGCCTCTCTGTGCCCCCACAGGTGCTGCACTCCTCCGCCCGCTACTGCAAGAGCCTCCTGGACGACAACAGCTCCTCTGCCCTCATCATCCTGGGCTTTGTCATCATGTCCCCGCTGCTGGTGGTGGCCATGGCCATCTACTGCAGCCTGGCCCGGCGCCTGCAGCTGCTGGTGTGCTTCCAGCCCTACAGCCTGGCCCTCTACAAGGGGGGCAGCTGCTGCTGGGCCAGGGGCTGCGGCCGCCAGCTCAAGGCCTGGGTGTGAGCCTGCAGCACCAGCGGGGTCCCCTCCCTGTGCCCCATCATCATCATCATCATCATCATCATCATCCTCGGCCTTCTGTGGGGAGGTGTCACTGCTCAGCTAGGGCGCACTGGGCTGTATCCCGAAAATCCCAAAAAATTCCCAAAAAATCCCAAAAATCTGCAATGGAATGGAGACACAGTGTGGGACAGGTGTGGGGAGGGCAGGGCAGCTTCATCCTCCTAAATCATCCTGGTTTATCCCAAAAAATCCCCAAAATCTTCAATGGAATGGAGACACAGCGTGGGACAGGTGTGGGGAGGGCAGGGCAGCTTCATCCTCCTAAATCACCCTGTGGTTTACCCCAAAAATCCCAGGGAAGCTTCATCCTCCTAAATCACCTTCTGGTTAATCCCAAAAAGCCCAGGGCAGCTTCATCCTTCCAAATCCCCCTCTGGTTTATCCCAAAAATCCCCAAAATCTGCAACAGAGTGGGAGATACAGAGTGGGACAGGTATGGGGAGAGCAGGGCAGCTTCATCCTTCCGAATCCCCCTCTGGTTTATCCCAAAAATCTGCAACTGAGTGAAAATATAGCATGGGACGGGTGTGGGGTGGGCAGGGCAGCTTCATCCTCCTAAATCAAGGAAACCACCCTGTGCTTTATCCCAAAAAATCCCAAAAATCTGGAACAGAGTGGAAACACAGAGTGGGACAGGTGTAGAGAGGACAGGGCAGCTTCATCCGTTCAAATCACCGTGTGGTTTACCCCAAAAAACTCCAACTGAGGGAAAACACAGTGTGGGACAGGTATGGGGTGGGCAGGGCAGCTTCATCCTCTTAAATCCTCCTGTGGTTTATCCCAAAAATCCACAAAATCTGCAACTGAGTGAAAACACAATGTGGGAGAGGTGTGGGGTGGGCAGGGCAGCTTCATCCTTCCATATCACCCTGTGGTTTATCCCAAAAAATCCCAAAAATCTGCAATGGAATGGAGACACAGCATGGGACAGGTGTGGGGTGGGCAGGGCAGCTGCATCCCCCTAAACCCTCTCTGGTGTTGTTTTTGCTGTTGTTTCTGGTGTTGTTTTTGGTGTTGTTTTTGCTGTCGTTTTTGCTGTTGTTCCTGCCATCACGGCCTGCTGTCCCCTTTGTCCCCTTCAGAGCCATTCCCAGTTTTCTGTACAAATAAAATTTGTGCCCCATCCCTCCTGAGGAGTTTGTTGTGTCTCAAAGCCCTCCTGCAGCAGAACCACCCCTTGTTCTCCACTCTGTAGCACTGTGAGGTAAAATGGAATTTTTGTTCTCTATCTGATGATTTTCTTTTCATTTTTATCTTTAAAAATTAATTTTCTGGTTGATTTTTTCCTGCTGTTTGCCCTGATACCACCCAGAGGAATAACCAGGGGTGGCTACAGGGGGGAGTGAACTGGAGGGGGGGGAAAAAAAGGAGGTTTTTTTATTTGGTTTGACAAACAAGCTGACATTTTCTGACAAGACTGAAGAAAAACAAGAAAGTTCTGTTCCAGGCAGGGAGATCTGCTGGAGGATAACAAGGTTTTGCCTGAGGGCTCTGTCGGCTCACTGGGTGCAGATATTTGATATGAGTTGCTGTTCCTTTTGCTCACCTGTTGTTTAATCCAACTGCTTTTAAAAGGAAAACATCCCTCAGTGTGGTAGGGCTGCAGAGAAACCCAGAGTTATTTGCTACAGCCTCCTCAAGAAAGCAAAATTGTATTTCAGATGGCATTTAATATATATAATATATTAAATATAATATAGAAAATAATATATAAAATATAAAATATAAAATATAAAATATAAAATACTTCACAGAGTATTTTATATTTTATATGTGATAAATATTAAATGAATTTAATTCCTTGAATTTGAATTAAATTCATTTAATATATGAATTTAATGAATTTAATATATTGAATTTTTGGGGGATAAAAAATTCCCAGCAGTGCTGCAGCTCCAGGGTGAAGCTGGATTCATCCCACCAAGAAGCAGCAAAGCTGTGTTGGTGCTGAGGGGAAAACAGGAGACCAAAAACTCAAATATTTTATTCCTTGAAGGAGAGAAGAAACCAATCCCACCAAGAAGAAGCAACACTGTGTTGGTGCTGAGCCACTCCACAGCAAGATATTGATTAAAAGGAGAAACAAGAGACCAAAAAATCAAATTTTTTTATCCCAGAACAGCAAGATATTGATTAAAAGGAGAATCAAGAGACCAAAAAATCAAATTTTTTATCCTGAAGAAGAGAGGAAAACAATCCCACCAAGAAGCAGCAAAGCTGTGTTGGTGCTGAGGGGAAAACAGGAGACCAAAAAATCAAATTTTTTAATCTCAGAACAGCCTTGAAGGAGAGAGGAAAGGAATCCCACCAAGAAGCAACAAAGATGTGTTGGTGCTGAGGCGCTCCAGAGCAAGATAATAATTAAAAGGAAAAACAGAAGACAAAAAAACCCAAATTTTTTTGAAGAAGAGAGGAACCTCCTCTGCTGGATGAGGCTGCTCAGAAAAGCCCCAAGAACATCCTGGAGAGCAGAAAATTCCCTCTAAATCCTGGCCAAGTGTTTTCCTCTGGCTGCAGACATTTCCATGAGGTCACTCTTGGAGTTCCTCCCGTGGCTGGAACGTTCACAGCCAGAAACTGAAATGTTTGGGGCTTTGTGATGCTCCCGTGGCTCACTCTGTGGGGAAAAAGGGGCTTTGTAGGGTTTGGGATCATGCAGGGTTTGGGATCCTGTGAGGTTTGGGGTCCTGTAGGGTTTGGGTTCATGCAAGGTTTGGGATCCTGTAGGGTTTGGGATCATGCAGGGTTTGGGATCCTGTAGGGTTTGGGATCCTGTAGGGTTTGGGATCATGCAGGGATTGGGATCATGCAGGGTTTGGGATCCTGTAGGGTTTGGGATCCTGTAGGGTTTGGGATCATGCAGGGATTGGGATCCTGTAGGGTTTGGGATCATGCAGGATTTGGGATCATGCAGGATTTGGGATCCTGTAGGGTTTGGGATCATGCAGGATTTGGGATCATGCAGGATTTGGGATCATGCAGGGTTTGGGATCCTGTAGGGTTTGGGATCATGCAGGGTTTGGGATCATGCAGGGTTTGGGATCATGCAGGGTTTGGGATCCTGTAGGGTTTGGGATCATGCAGGGTTTGGGATCATGCAGGGTTTGGGATCCTGTGAGGTTTGGGGTCCTGTAGGGTTTGGGATCATGCAGGGTTTGGGATCCTGTAGGGTTTAGGATCTTCCAGGATTTGGGATCCTCCAGGGTTTGGGATGCTCCAGAATTTGAGATCCTCTAGGATTTGAGATCCTGGAGGATCCTGCAGGATTTGGGACCATGCTCAAGGATTTGGAACATTCCAGGATTTGAGATCCTGCGGGGTTTGGGATTCTGCAGGGATTGGGACTCTTCAGGATTTGGGACCATGAAGGATTTGGGATTCTCCAGGATTTTGGATCCTGCAGGGTTTGGGACCATGCAAGGTTTGGGATCCTCCAGGATTTTGAATCCTGCAGGATTTGGGACCTTGCAAGGTTTGGGATCCTCCAGGATTTGGAATCCTGCAGGATTTGGGACCATGAAGGATTTGGGATCCTCCAGGGTTTGGATTCTGCAGGATCTGGGACCCTGCAGGGTTTGGGATGCTCAAGGATTTGGGATCCTGTAGGGTTTGGGATCCTCCAGAATTTGGGACTGTGCAGGGTTTGGGATCCTCCAGGATCTGGGCCCCTGCAGGGTTTAGGATCATGCAGGATTTGGGACCATGCAGGACTTGGGACCCTCCAGAATTTGGGACCCTCCAGGATTTGGGATCCTGCAGGATTTGGGATGCTCAAGGATTTGAGATCCTGCAGGGTTTGGGATCCTCCAGGATTTTGGATCCTCCAGGATTTTGGATCCTGCAGGATTTGGGATCCTTCCTGCCTCAGTCTCCATCTCCCCTGCTCCTTGCAGAGCTGCTCCCAGCAAAGTCCTGTCACCCTGATTAATGATCAACTGTAAGAAAAAATTAATCAGGACTATACACTTAATTAATGATTAATTAATGATCAGCTGTACCAAAAGATGATTCAGGGCTATACACTTAATTAATGACCATCTGTAACAAAAGATAATCCCAGGAATCCTTGGATCTGCTTTTTGATCTGCAGCCCTGGAAAAACGCTGGATTCAGGGCAGGGTCTGACATGTGGGGTGAAAAATTGTGATTTTTGCTTGGTTAATTATGAAACTGCAGCAGTGGGGTCTCCTCACACCCTCCATGGATTGAGCCAGGAGAGAGCAGGGGGAGAACCCCAGAATTCCAGCAGAACTTTGGAGATTTGCAGGAATTCCCTGAAGGGAGAGAAACCTTGATGGAAGCAGTAACGTGAATAATCTGAGGGGCTGCTTTAATGAAATTAATAAAAAACCTCACTTTAATAAACTCACTTTAATAAACTCACTTTAATAAACTTAATAACTTTAATAAAAAGGGATCAAAAAATCCCCTTTGTAATTAAAATTTCGCGGTTCAATTTCCCTTGTTTTCCCCTCTGGGACATTTTCCCCTCCTGTTCCAGGTGTTCCCTCCATTCCCGCCCAGCTTGCCAACCCTGGAGATGATGGAAAAAGGAGAAAATAAATCAGGAGAGAAGCTCTGGGTGGCTTTTTTTGGCCAAGCAGTGTCCTTGACAGGTGCCAGGAAACCAAGCAGAGGCAGAAAAATCCCCATGTGTGGGAGAACTCTGCAAAACAGGATCTGCCACACTTCCTCCCTCTTTTCCACCCCATTTGTACTGAAATATCTGCAGATATTTTATTTACAGCAACATCTGGTTGTCCTTTGGAGAAAATGGAAGTGGAAGCTCGGAGTGGATGGATGGAATTGCAGATTTTCAGAGAACTGAGTGGAAATTTCAGGGAAATTTTCAGGATTTGGTGTGGCTGCAGCTGGTTTTGCTTTTCCCATTTTTCTCAATTTTTAGTGGCATTCCCAATGACCCATCCCATTTTTGGGGGGATTTTTAG